TTCATTAACTTCCGATGTCTTCATTATAATAGATTATTTTCTTCATTTTAAATTCTACTGTATTACTAGTTTATTATGTTGTATATTGACCTAATATTAGGTCCAAGAGACTCTCTAGTTTCAAACAAATTTTAAATGCATCCAAGTTTTATGGCGGTTTTGAAGCTTTAGCCTTCTTTACATTAACATCAGGGAACATACATGCTACCCACCTCCCCCTTGCCATGAAAGGTGAGTGAATTGAAAGATGAACTGAAGAAAATGAATTTAATTTTCAAAGAGCGAATAATTATTGTGCTCTATTGAAGGAGAACTGTCTGCAATCACATGATCCAAACGTTTTCCCGTCACATTAGTCGATTAAACCGTATCAACGATTGCCAGCATTATGTTCAGAATATGACACAATTAGGTAATGCAAATCGATGTTGTCTATAAATTTGGTCATAATTTAACTGCTGTTGTCAATATTGTGCACCCGCTTTATTGTGAAGTAAACTACATTGCATTTTCACAGTTTTTATCTAAACGAGTTTCTGAACTCGCAAAAAGGTACCACCAAATAAAAATAGACTATTTTGACGTTGTTTTAAAACAGTAGAATCACTTGAACGTATTAGGTAGCTGATATTTCAAAAAATCATGAACTATTAAATAATGGAGAGTTAAGATTTTTTTTAAATGAACAAGATGAAGTTAATTCACCAGCTGACTAAAATAAATTGTATAGTGGATGTCAGCATCTAAAGTAGATTCTTAAATTATTTAAGCAACAGCTTGATCGTTTAAATGTTTTTGTAAAAAATTATACTTTTCGGATATTCTGGTTAAATGAGTTTTTTTTATTATGGAAAGCTGTTTAAAGACATTTACTAATTTGTTGGTTTATTTGGAATTGTCAAATATAACGAACCATTTTGAACTTAAACCTAATATGGTTTTTTTACAGACTATTGGTTCGTCTCCATTTTAATTCAATACTCTCTCTTTAGTTCATAAGATGTTGGTTACAGAAAAAGAAAACGACAAACTTCATTCACATTAATATATATACTCTATTATTTTAGAATTATTTAATTTATAATTAGTATTACTTTATAATTTAATTTCATTACTTTATAAAAATTACGTTGATGTAACTGAATTTTGACCTCGGCCTGTGCTTTCGTAACTTCAATTATATGCTGTTGTTACAACAACTCTTACCTAATATGCACATCAAGCTCATCAAATGGGGATACAAACTTGCATAATGATTGTATTCACGACAGTTAATAGGCGGTCGGTCGGTCGGACAGAAACATTATAATATAGCATCACGTATAACATAACGATAAAAGATATATAAAGGTATAATAAAATAGAGTTCACAAATTAACTTTATGCCGGCAATACATCAAGATGAATACGAATCAGTTAACCAGTCAAGAGAACATCAGTTGCTTTGATTTGTATAGGTATTGATATACTGTACATGTATTAGTCTTATTAAAGGCCTACACATTCCCACGAATCTCTCCTTTAAAAACAACACAGTCAATATTGTATACGATTACTCTAGAAATATCAATATAATGATATGCTTGAAAAACAGGTTATTTTTAATACGCACTCTGACCGTATTTTCAATATGTATTTTAAACTTGGCACGTATATAACTAAAAGTAAACATGTTTATTAATGACTGTATATAGAGAAGTAGTATTCCAAGGTCATCACCTTTTTTTTTTTAAATTTGGTTTTATTGTGTTCATTAAAGAGAATGCACAGTTCTTAATCTATGACGGGAAACCTGGGAAACAGTTTTACAATAGGCATCTTATCGCATATCTATAAAAAAAAAAATTTGAAAAAAATGTCGACCTTTCGGACAGATTTTGAGAGCGACGGCATATCCAAAACTGCTAGCAAACACAATAATCCGACTACTCTGATCCTACCCAATTTCGTAGTCATGTACGTACATGATATCATTGTTTAGGGCCAAACATAGAATTGATTTAATGTCGTTTTACGTAGGCGTTGACCTCAAACTTTTAAGGTTCAGTATTTGTAACTGCTACGGATGTGATGAGATGCTAAATGGCCAATCGATTGAGCCTACCTGTAACTAGTCCACTTTGTGATAGGCGTTTCCCAAAAATTTTGTTTGTCAACTAAAATATACGTTTTATTATTTCATTGAAAATAACAGAAAGAGCATCAACCTTCAATTATAGTGCTTTACAATTGTAAAATAATGTTCTGGATTTAAAAAAAAATGAATCTGCTTGTTATTGACGGTTACATTTATAAATAGGCTAATTTCATTTTTATCACCAGCAATTACTGAACTATAATATAATAAATCTTGCAACTTGTTTCTTATTACTATTTTTGATCAAGTCAACCAAAACTAATATGACTTTCCTATAAAAGATCTATTATAAATTCACACCCTGGTAAATAAATGTTAAAATAAATGGGAAATTGGTTTTGTTATTCATCAAAAATGATTTTCACAAGCATGTATCAAACGGTAAACAAGAACAGAATGACAATTTAATGAGACATAAAAAATAGTTGTCAAAGTAAAAATAACTCATTGATCATTCTCAAGATTTGTTTCTTCCACATATAAATTGACCTACAGTATATTCTTAAACGTGTGACTTTGATTCATTTGAAAAGACTAATATTATGCTGTTCTAATGTCCTGATGAGAAATATATGAATTTGTATGAATGAATGGGAGGGGCCAAAGACGGGTCAGCGTCTTTTTTAGAAGAAAAAATTGTTTGCACATAATACAAGGGGAATAACTCCATTATTGTAAATTTAAAAGAGACATGTATCATGTACATAGAGACATAATTAGCCTTCATGGAATTTAATTCATTTTCCTCTAACTTACACAACCTTAATAAAATATAATCTCACAATTTATTAGTGGTTATTTTGATTTCTTGTCTACAAAAGGCAGATATATCTACACATGTATATTTACTATAAAGATGAGTCTACATGATACAGAAATAAAGACTAGAAAGGAATGATTTTTTATTTCAATAGTATCATATATACCAGTAACATAGAATGGTAATATAAAATGTTAAAGAAAACCTCTCTAACAAAGTTAGGAATTAATTATCCTAATTAATTTTGATTTATTATAAACAAATAGTTATTGAAGATTTTGTCAAGATATATATTTATATATATATATAACTAGAAATGGAAATGCATCAAGAAATATTTTTCACAAAATAAATATCAAAAAAACAAATCCATACTTTAATTGAAAAAAATATGAAACAAATTTACTAGAGCCATTTTAATGTCATATTTGATATGACAGCCCTGAGTATAGGTTACTATAGCTACAAGATAATATAGCATATCTATTTAGTATAATAACTTGAAGATTAACTCTACAGCATAGTATTAAACACTTTCTAAGATAACAATGAATAAGCTTTATTAGTTGTATAGGACAAAACTAACATTAGTGAAACTTTGATAGGTGTTACCACACAAGTGTTAAAAACTTGCTGTTTGGATGGTTAATTTAATCTATAATCACTGGTACAATGTGGAAGGCAAGTAATATTGATATTATGTACACTTATTCATACCTCTTATAACTAAAAAGTGACCAATATCTCAAATATCCTTACAATAAAAGAATAAAAAAATTGACTGAGTGTCAAAATACATTAATAAGTCTCTCATGAAGTTTTATGTGTTTTCATTTAGTTTTGATTAGAATAATAACAAATTTACTTAATATTCTATAAACTAAAGTCTTTGACAAAATATTTAACTTTTTAAAATCATTTGTCATTGTTTTAATGCCTTGTAACTCCAGAAATATTTTGCAATGCATATATTCAAAACATTACAAATCAGTTTACAAACAAAGAATAAATGTCTAGGTTTGACATTTTTGATTAAGATGTATATATAATACAGCTACAAACAATTCAAATTATAAATGGACATATGGTTTGATGGTATCTTGACCTATGATGTTCAGATTTCCAGAACTTAACACAAATCTATTCAGGTGTATCTTGGCACTATTCTATACCAGTATTTATAAAGCAATGTTCATAATTCTCCTAAGGTTAGTCCAGTGATAGTCTTGATCCATGTTCTGCTATTGTCAACAAAATTTGTGCAATACATATTAACAATTATGATATTTACAAAATGGATGATAAAGTTTACAAGAACAGATATAAAATTCTGATTCCAGCATAACATCAACCTGAATTTGATAACCTGTTCCTTGACTGTACATTGACACAATCTTGTATGCTTGATTCAGATTCCTTTACATAAATCCATAATTATAGTAAGTCAAGTTGTTCTTATCATCCAACACGATCAGATCAAATTACAATTCAAGTTTCAACATCTGTTTCAATCTAATTTGCAATATTTAAAGCTTGAAACTATTATCACAAGTGAGAAATATTAAGCTAACTAAGTCCTAATATTCCCTTTTGGCCTGGCAACAAGAAATAGGCGAAATAGCTTCTTTCTACTAACTCTGTGATAATCAGATTAAAAACTACTTTGGACAGAACTACCCAACCTATTGTAGTAATTAAAGTTTTGGTTTTGACATTTTGATTTCGACACAAAACTACATAACTAATGGCAATAACCATCAATAGATTTCATGTATTAGCCAATAACCCATTCTTGCTATCAAATCATTCCATATGTGTATTTTGTCAAAGGAAATATTGTGCTATATTGATATGGTATTGATATTTACAGCACCAAAATATAATGAGCATTGGTTATATTATTTTGTCAACAAATGAAATCAAATGTAAACAAAATTCATTTATTCCAAACATTTAAAACTTAATATCAGTTTTCTAATAATATTAGTAAGATTCCTGAACTGGATTTTTTTGTACTATTTTTCAAAGAGTACCTGCTCAATAGAACATAATAAGTGAACTAAAACAATAAAAAAGATGACTATGATAAAAAGAAATAAAGCTTTCAATACTTGGTATAATAAGCTTGATATAAAATTTTCATTTCTGGCACTAACTTCATCATTCATACACTTCAAATATAGCTCTTTATATAAAAAATATGTCTATTACTCTGAAATATAAAAATCAAAACTTATATTAACATACTTCAAATATAGCTCTTTATATAAAAAATATATCTATTACTCTGAAATATAACAATCAAAACTTATATTAACATACTTCAAATATAGCTCTTTATATAAAAATATATCTATTACTCTGAAATATAACAATCCAATTCTTATATTAAAATACCTCAAATACTTAAAATATAACTTGTTTAAATCTCTCTGAAACCCAAAAATAGTAAACAATGGAATGTATATTGTTGAAGAAATCAACAGTAATCAAGAACTATTTCTTTTTTCCCATTTGTTTAAGTGCACCAATCTCATAACATGTCTTGATTAAATAAAACTAGTGAAGTCCAATTAAATGTTCAAAAATACCAGAAAAATTTGACATATATATATGAAACATACCATCAAACTAAATCTTTAACATCTAAAATATGTGGTTTTAAATCTTTCATCATTCCAAACATTCTCACACGTTTTCTTCCTGCAATTAACAAAATCAAAACCATATATCATTTGATGGTGATCAATCAAGCCTTTTTTTTGTAGTTATAAATTCTAGAGATTTCATTGGACTTTATCAGATAAGTTTTAGAATATCCCATGAATTGAATAAAAAGTCTTGATAAACTCAAGTGAAATACTCTATAACTGGTACACAAGGAGATTTTATATGGGATAAATAAATAACTATTTCTTGAAGCTAACTGTTAACACCTTACAAATAAATGACATCACATAAATAGAGTGCATTAAAACAGAATGATTCATTAGACTTCAAACTACTGTAAATGATTATAATATACTAACCAAACACTTTCTTTAACTGATCATCGCATAGCATAAACTGTTTATTTTTAGGATCCTATAGAAAAATAAAGATAATGTTAAACAGGTTAAGGTGTGTATGTCATATTATTTTCTTAGTAATTCTGGTAAAATGTGATCTTAAGATAAGACTAAATCATTCGAAAATATGGCTATACCTAGCAAAATTACTGCCAGACTCTGGCCATACTACTATTGCAAATATTAGTGAGATTGAAATTTGGACAAATAACCCACGAACAAGGTGATGAAGTAAGAGATATAAATCCACCTGTTCTTTAATCTTGTGCCTTTTTACATACACCTCTTTTTAGAAGTCATATAAACTTAATAATTAGCTGTGCTAATGTGATAAACAAATTCAAGGTATCTCAAATCAAACATATAAATCAATATACATAACATTCACCTTTATTGATATATGATAATCAAAGGTTGAGCAAAACTTAAATAGTCCATGTGATTGTATAAATTTTTAAATGAACCAATATTGATTTACCTGTAAATTTCTCTCTCTAGCTATTGCCCACATTTTCTTCACCACATCAGATCTAGCCAGCTAAAATATAATGTTTCATATTGTAGGTTATTATTTCTCTTTTGTGGTCAATTCATAGTTACAAATCTAATCCATCTTGAGAAAAACAACATGTCTGTGAAAGATTGGAAAGATTGGAAATGTTAATGAAAAAATGGACAAATCATTTTACCTCTTACAAATGGAGATTAAGGATGGCTTTACTGAAACCTACTATCAATGTCCAATAGAGTGTAACACTTAGTCATGTATCCACCTGTTTGCTTAGTTCATCATGGGGAAGAAATTCATTCCAGAAATAACCTTAATATTACCTGATCTTCTCCCATTATAGCTGCTAATTCAGGAGATAGCTGACATTTCTTACTGTACATACTTGTTCCCTTTCGGTCTTTCTTTTCTTTCTTAGGTTTTTCAGACTTGGCTTTCTAAATTTAAAATCACAATTAATTCAATCAAAATTTACATTGTATTGACAATCACAAACTATCAACATCACCTTCAGGTTAAATGAAATTCTTGTGTATTGAATGACTATTGCATAAGTTGTTAGAAATTTTATTAGAAGATTCAGAAAAACTCACTGCTTTACTCTTTCTTCCACCTCCTCTGGTTCTACTTAGTTCTTCATCTTGTAATTTTTTAGCTAATTCTTCATCATTGTCATCACCATTCTAAAACAATATTTACGAAATATTAGTACATTTTTTTTATGTTTTTATTTTAAAGAATTTCGTTCACAATTTTCGAATTATTTTCAAAAAATTTCTTCTGAAACCTATAAAATGGTTCAAAATAAAAAATTAACTCACTTTTGATACTTTCTTTTTTTTTCTTACTGGCTCCGCATCAAGCTGTTAAAGCAAAAAAAATAAAATTCATCAAAAAAAGCCAGTACTTGGCACAATACCAATATTACAGATCTAGGTAACAACAGTTAATTATGATTCATTACATGCAGTGTGATACAGTGTAAAATGCTATAAATCACTTTTTTTTTAAGACATATAGAATTAGACCTAGCTACAGAAGCACATGATATATGGTAAATAACCATTGTTTTATACTACTTGCAAATTTATTTACTCAATGTTTCAAATATGAGCATATGAAAAGTCTGGTTCAATAAATATTAGAAAAAGTATAACCGTCCATATTATATCTTGTGCTTCTTTGTGTAAAATGTCACCTACCACTTCATCATCAGAATCACTATCTGTGGTACCATTAGCAGCACTACCATCTTCTTCATCTTCTTCTTCTGTATTCTGACTCTCTGATATCTGATCCATAACCATCTTATCTATCTCTTGCTTTCTGCAAATTGGAGTCAATATAGTGTATTGTAAGGAATACAATATGAATGACCGCTAGATGTATTGAATTATTATTCATTTATTATGAATGATTGTCAACTATAGTTTGTCTTATGTCCAATTATCTAATGCATAGTTAGCACATACAGTATACACAATTTCTTTTGCAAAAAAGTCAATAAAGAATTTTGAAAACCTAGTTTACATAGAAACTGCAAAAAAACTAACCTATCTGTAAAATCTGCATCAAACTTTGATTCCAACATCTTCCTAACTTTCTTAGCTGATAAACTGTCCAGATCGGCATCTTTTAATATATCTACAAAATCAAATCAATTATTGATTAGTTTAATTATCATAAAACCACACATATCTAAAAATCATCATCATTGTATAATAACTAAGCTTATTCATTAATAACCCACAATCAGGTAGGTTCTTTGAATCTATATAAAGAATGTGCCTTAAGCTGCGGGCAGACTTGGTGAATGGTTCGGGTGAGTCAATCGCCAGCGAACTTCGTCTAGTGTGTCCAGTGCTATGACATTCGCCCGATCATCAGCCAAAGCGATTTGCCAATATCAAGTGTGTTTGATATAATTCGTCCGAATATTCTTCACCCTCAACTCGTTCAGCAAGTGCGCACTCTGGCAAAGTCTATTGTGAACCAATCACAGACGCCAAAAGCTTCTTGTGACAAATAATATGATGACCTTCAGTGATGCATTGTGGAGTGCAGAAAAGAAATAGAAATAAATTATGTTATGTGAGTCAAAGCTCAACTTATACGATATAACAACTGCCACTCTTCGCTTGTTTTTGGACACCACATATTTTCATATTTCATAAGTGCAGTGAGCATGCGTAATTTAATTTGCATGCGAGTCAGTTGAGGCTTTTGCCCTGTGTGTCCACTGCCTCAGCCAAATGAATTCGGCAGTGAATTGTTCGGCCAAAGTACCAGCAAGTAAAATTCGCCATGTCTGTCCTTAGCTTTAGATTGTTTACTCTCTGGCCACATTGAGTTTTTAATTGAATTTTTTCTCTCATGTCACAAATATTCAAATATGATTTTCAAGTGCATACCAATTGTCTAAGAATGCCTTTGGGTACATAAATATACAAGTTTTGAAAATTTTGCACTTGAAATGAACACCTTTCTCTCGAAGAAATTTCATGTGAAAATGACACACATTTTGAACTGAAAATCTCCCTCTGTAAAATCATAGTTTCAAGTAATTTTGTTTTCAATGGTTGGCATTTTCATCAACCCAAAGACAATCTAAGACTCTCAGCAATATTTGGAGATTAATATTTCAATTCATACAAAAATGATAGCCAAAATGTGATTTAGAACTTGATGTCACCAGAGAGTAGATAGTTATTGAAACAGTGGAGCTTAGTAGGGTTAACTTTTAAAATCACTGTCACTAACTCTCACTTCAAGTCAATGAGGACATCCTTGCATGGTTAAAGGTCTGACCTTGGGTGAAGTCTACCTAAGTAATACACCACTAGGCCTATAAGATAACCAAGTCCAGATGGAGATGACCATTATCACTCATCAGTCATGTAGTTTGTACAGATTCTATGCTATTTACTCTGCTGCATAATTCTCAAGATCTGATATAATACAACATAATACTGAAATACTTAAAGAAAAGTACTACTGTTTTAAAACCTAATATTATTTCCCATTACAACTGGTGCTGTGTGGCTACAAAATTGCCACACCGATGACACCACAGAAACTCGAGCCAAACCCACAAACAAATAAAACGTGATCACCGTATGAATAATAAAAAGGAGGTAAAAACAAATTTCTTCCATGTTAGTTAAACATATTGAGGAAAAACTTCTAAGAAACATTAAAAGGATTATTCCTGAGTCGAAAAATATGAAACAAGCCTTGAAAATAACCTTTTATGCTTGATTTTAATTCAGCTGTAGAAACTTCTTTCGACTGCGCCATGTTGACAAATAAAGCCGAAGGGAACTAACTCTGATTAACGAGGTCATTTCGACCATATACAATATCGACCTAAAATAGCGCAACAGAATCTAAATTAGACGTACATTACGGACTATTCTTGTGAAACCATGATATGATATTAAAAAATTTCTTAAGTCGATCCAGTCAATATCAATGTCACGATTTCCTGCAAATACAAAACTGAATAGATGTGATAAAAAAGCAAAGATTGCTTTAAATGTAAAACCTTCTAATGACCGATTTGTCTAATTTTGGTCCAAAGAATCTCAGAAAAGATTACTGGACAATCTGCAAAAAAAACATGGCAGCTTTTTGCACTTTTCGGAATTGTCTCAAGGTTGATTTATTTATTTTTATTCACATACGTCAATCATAAACATTTTTTAACTTTGAAACATAACCATATCGATGTCGGCATCCTTTTGATCTTAATGACATATTTACAAGCTGTTACACTGCGACATTTTCGAATTATAGCTAGTCATTTCGGCATTTGACATTTGTTTACATAATTTGACTGATGATCAAACATTGAAAGTTTGGCAGTTTAAAACTGATAAACTGATCAATAAATATTTATTCAAGCCAATGTAACTAACAAATGGCATGGCTATCTCATAATTATGTAGGCCTATTGATTTTTTCCGATAAATTAAAAGGTGTATTATGTAAACCATAAAAGGATTATGTTTGTCTAAATAAAAATGTATCTTCCTGTTTGACTTCCAAGAATAAACTTTTGATGTCCAGGTCAAGTTCATTCTCTTCTTAAAACCAAATGAGATGTAACTAACTAATAGAATGGATAATAATAATAAAATAATGATATCTTTATTACAAAAGAGTAAAAAAATTACGCCATACAATATCGATGATAATTAAATTGATGTCTACATTTGAGAGGGCAAAGTTCGTATTTTGCAGCTGATTTTAACATTAATTTTGTCCATATTTTATACTTACAGAATCTGACAACCAAAAATGTTGGTCGAATAAACCAGAGTTTCAGAAATGTCAAATACTCCACAGTGAATGCAAGTGTAAACCAAGATGGTGTCGTCTATAGATCATCACCTCTTGATTTACTCTCTGACGAAGAAAAAATGATGAAAGAAACAGGTAGGGATTAGAGATATCAATTCTAACTATCAGTACATGTACTTTTATATAATGTACATCCTTAAAATCTTTGAAGCAAGCTTAGAGCTGTCTTTGTCTGGAGTATTATTTGTCCAGAAATGACATTAGTTTTGAACATTTCAGCTCACAGATTTATAGATCTCTTGTCATTTTGCAGGTCAATCAGCCTAGTCCAGTATACAAGACTAGTGCGATTAGTGTATCATCCTTCTGATGCAATTATTCACCTCATTTCTGGTAAATTATCTGTTATTTTAGTTTCAAGACTTGCAACAGAGAAAATCAAACCATTAGTAAGAAGTATGGATGAAAAGAGTGAAATGGATCAGAGTGTAATTGATGCTTTATTTGAAAATGGGGTAAGAAATGAAGTAATAATTATTCTAAATAAGTAATATCATTAGAGAGCGGGTTAAATCACACCATCAGAATCCAAGAAAAATCCAAGATAACCTGTTTTTTCACTTTGAAGTTTTTTTGACAGCTAAAGCACTTATCCACTTATCCCAGTGAAGGAAAATGATATACAATCTTATTAAATCATTTATTTTAGTTAATGGGTATTGAAGTAGATAGTGAATATGGTGGAACTGATACAACATTTTTTAATGCTTGCTTGGTGATAGAAGAATTGGCTAGAGTAGATCCATCAGTTAGTGTCATGGTAGATGTACATAATACTTTAATTACAGCTTTATTTATGAACTATGGTACTAAAGAACAAAAAGAAAAGTATTTACCGAGATTGTGTTCTGATATGGTAAGAAAAAACTTATTTATTGGTTTATACTTTATCATACTATTCAGTAACAGCTTGTTAAAAAAATACCGGTATTTATAATAAATAATGATCTTAATTTTTTTTCTTTTTCATTCACATTCTACTCTATAGTTTGTTTTTGTCTAGTTTAATTAAGAACATTATATATTCTTAGCTTTTGAATAAGGTAGAAGTGTTGTAAAATGGGTGAATTGATTCAATTACATTATCACTGTTATCTGTTTCCAGCTTGGTAGTTTCTGTTTATCTGAAACAGAGTCTGGTTCTGATGCCTTTGCTTTAAGAACAGCAGCTGTAAAACAAGGAGATTACTATGTTATAAATGGTGAGAAGTGTTGGATTACCAGTGCTGGACATGCAGGTGTATTTCTTGTTATGGCTAATGCTAAACCTACAGATGTAAGTTTCATATCATGTGTGTATTAACATGTGGTAAGATGAAATTATAATTGGTATATGAAAGGAATTCCGCTAGGTAAAACATCAAAGATAAACTCAAAAAACTAAAAAATTTTACAAATTCTTGTGAAAGGTTTGTCTATTTTTCCAAAATATAATTGAGGAGCTTTATTTTCAGGGTTATAAAGGTATAACATGTTTTATAGTAGACAGAGATACAGAAGGTTTAAGTATTGGTAGAAAAGAAGATAAATTAGGAATCAGAGCATCATTTACAGGAACTGTTACTTTCGAAAATGTTAAGGTATTTCTTTTTCTTATGTTTAGTGCTAATGATATGTAATCACTAGGTAGAAGCAGACACCTATAGAAACTATGATGAAAGAGGTTAGATCTCTATGAAAAGAGGAATGAACATTGCACTTAATGGGTGATGGAAATACATACATTTCCTAAACCTTTAACTACCTAATAGCATTATGAGTTTATTATTTATGTATTATATAGGTACCAGAAAGTAATATATTAGGTCAGTTTGGACATGGATATAAATATGCTATTGGAATGTTAAATGAAGGAAGAATAGGAATTGGTGCACAGGTAAAATACAAAATTTAATGCAGTTTTACATTCCACTTTTCTGCACATGTAAGAATATAAAAGGATTTAGTGTACCACCATATAAAATTGATTCTTGTGTTAAGTATTCTCAGAGTTAAAAGTAGCTATGACTATGTAAGTGTGTGTCAATTTGAGTTGTTTTTTGTAATAGGTGCAGAGTGTTTCCAAAATGTGGTGGTACACCTAATACAACCAATTTAAATGGAACTTTGTTAAAGTTTCTCATTTTATCAATCACTGCCAATGTTTGGATATTTAGGCATAGTCCCCAAATATATCGAATTATTTGTAGATCTTATTTTTATAGAAAATTCTTTTCTGCGTTTTAGATGCTTGGTCTAGCTGAGGGTTGTTTTGAGAACACTATACCCTACTGTAGAGAAAGGAAACAATTTGGTAAAAGAATATTTGATTTTCAGGTAATTTTAAAATCTGTGATTTTGACAGACTTATGTAATACATAAAGGCATCGGTGTTAGTTGATTTCTTTTAGACACTCATGTAAAGATATGCTACATATGATATTAATATGATATCTATATGTAGATAATTATCAATATTTGCTCATCAAAATCAAATATTAGTTAATAACACAAAACAAACCTGAACATATTAACCCAATGTTCCAGAGTTGATGAGTAAGACCAAATAAAATGTTGAGTAATTATATGCTATTCTCTAAACTTATAGGGCATGCAACATCAAATAGCTAATGTAGCCATGCAGATAGAAGCAGCTAAATTGTTGGTTTATAATGCTGCTAGAAGAAAAGAAGCTGGTCTTCCATTTGTTAAAGAAGCTGCCATGTCTAAATTATATGCATCTGAGGTACTTTCTTTTCTTTCTTATTCTTAATGATAAAACATAAAAATAAAGATTGTACTGGTTATTAACAATAGCTATATTGGCCTATTTTAGATGTAATATTAATTGTAATTAAAATGATATTTATTTAGGTAGCTACATTAACAACATCTAAATGTATAGAATGGATGGGAGGTGTAGGCTTTATTAAAGATTATCCGGTTGAAAAATATTTTAGAGATTGTAAAATAGGTAAGTAATAGTTTAACTGTTGTAGATATTCATCATCAGACTATGAATTGAGGAGTGACATGAGGATACAAGCTGATAACATTATATCTTTCAAAAAAGCTAAGATTTAAATTGATCCTTAATATTTCTATTGATTTGGTATGATAATGTGTATTATTTTTTGAATAAAAGTTTGGAAAAGTCCTATTTGTATTACAAGATATCCATGAGTAGAAGTAGTAAAATATTAAACAATCTTTTACACATATTTACATATATATCTGTAATTACAGGAACTATATACGAAGGAACCAGTAATATACAACTCAATACTATAGCTAAAAGTATAGATCAAGAATATCAATAAAACAACAGAGATTAAAAGACTGATGATGATATGATGTGTGAACTATGTGACATTCCTATAGTGTGAAGGTGCAGAAGAAACTGACCTCATTGTGGAGAAACCATTTAAAACTTTGAAGTGAACCAGCACAAATTTCAAACTATCCTTAGATAGCCTGCACTGTAGATATAAACAAGAAAAACAACTCCATGTGAATTTTTTGTAGACTACAGAAATTCTGTACCAAACTCATCAGGTGATATAGAACCATCACAAATGTTTAACCGCTGACAATTTTACTGCGCTGTTTCAATGTTACTATCTTCGATGTATAAAAAAATACAGCTCTTTGTACTATATACTTTGTGTAGACTAAGGTGTGTTTGTTAGGTAATCAACAGTAATATTTTTCAGGTTTAAAACTGACAAATTGTTATTGTTATGGGACACTTTGATTCTCTAGTCTACTGCAATGTTCCTGTGCTACTATCTTTGATGTAAAAAAGAAAGACAACTTTGTGTAGACTAAGATCAAAATTTATGTGAGATGAAATAGATTGAAATATTTTCAGACTAGTTATTAAAAGAAACACTCATTGTATTTGTAAATTATATTTCACTGAATGAACGTTAGTAAAAAATTTGTGATAGTATTATGTTTAATCAAAACAACATTTAAGAAATAAGAGAACTGATTTAGCTCTTGATAGTCTCTATGACATCTTGTTATATAAGTTGACCAGGGCTGTTTCTAACATTCGCTCTAGATACCAATCATGGCATCATATTATTACTTACCAGTATATCATAGTTTAAACCAGATAAAAAAATGTACCAACTCACTGACTCAATGAAAATCAATAACATATAATTGCGAATATTATGCGCAAGCTTGTATAATTCGGACCCCTTCTAACCCTCTAGTAAATGTGGACAAATGTTTGTCTCACCCAAATTACACACCCTGTCCTATACCTAAAGTTGGTATAACGCAGACCCCATGATATTGATTGGTAATTTCCTGTATTTTACAACCCTACATTACTAAGGCCTACATGTAATCTTTGTACAATATTTCTTCCATGTAGGCTTGTCAAATACTTCTTTTCATCGTATCACGAGTACGGGTTATGACATGGTCCGAGGAAGGATGACGAATGGGGGCGTGGTTTGGACTTCTTTTATAATCTAATGTTAATTGTGATGTAATTTATATTTGTATATTTGTTATATATATATACTTTGAGTCTAAATTGACAAGGTAGCGCGCATACGAATCTCGATTGAAAGAAGACAAACTTTTACAAACATATCACTCTGAATGGCATCTGCAAGTATAAAAATAAAAAAAAACATAAAAGCAAAAATTGAAATCAATTTTGTAAGGTTTCTGTTCATTTTTCAAATTCTTGCTACAAAATTTAAATTATTGTGTAGGAAGGGGAAAATAAAATTGAGTAATGAAACTCTGTTTATTTTTATTTGCTTTGGTGGCTTTTGATAAAGAAGTTGTTTTGTCCACTTATTTTGATTTTGTAAAATTGATATACGTTGTTTAGAACATTAAAAAACGTCTTCAGCTTTATATTTGAATATTACTGATATCTGAAAAATTGGCATGTAACTTTTATTCCTGTGTACATTCTTAATTTTTTTATCTGGTCTTAGTTAACTTGAAGATTTCCAGCCATTGAAAAGAATCTGACGATTTATATTATAATTCTGTACAGTTTATATGATACGTTAGTCTGACCACAGAAAACATGCACAGAGATTTGTAGCTGTGAGCGTTCATATTAAATGTGAAGCAGGCAGGGCTTAAGCCTCTAGTAGTCAGTAGCAAAGCGGAATAAACGCAACAAAACGTGACATTGTGCAAAATGGCATAACAAAACTTGCAAGCTGTCCGCATTGCGACGAACGGCATGTGTCTTCCCCCACTACCTCACGGTAGTTCCAACATTGTTCTTTTTGACGAAGTTAAGCTACTTCTATAGTCCCTTTCTGAGTCACAATTGCTGTACATTTTACTCCAGTTTATTGCGTTTGCTCACGACAAGGTAGGTTGTATACTTGAAGGTTTTTTTTGTGTGTTCAATCACCGCGTATGGCAGTTTATGAGCGCAGTCGCTGACTACGTGACGGACCGAAAGGTTTCGTGGTAGAGGACTAAACTGCTGTGCCATAAAAAAAAATTACGTTTTGGGAAATAAAGCTGTCGTGAATATGGTAACTGAACGTAGCATAAGGAAGGGATTGTGCGTACCGCACCCACAAAGATGGTATTTACTTTTTATGTATGTATGAAAGAAAGCTAGGTGTTATCACTTCAATAAATTTTACCGGGGTAAAACACTTTTGTATACACTGTTAAAATTTCTCAAGAAAAATAATAGCGAAAGAAGGATCAAAATTTACGATGCGAGAAGCATGTTTGGATGTGAACAGCACTTATATGTGAAGCTATTGTATAAAATATATGTAGGCCTACATTGTATTTAGTAGTTTTGCTTAATGATAAAAACGCAAATTTATATCATGATCGCAATAAGTTCCGTGATCAGCCGCAAATAGACGATGTGCGGGGTACGGTGCAGGGTTATAAATACAGAAGAAAACAGAACAAGTGAAAACACGAGGAACGGGCCTAGACACGATGCGGACACGATTCGCTTCTACTATTTTCACTGTATAGATAATCCCGCACCGCACCCCACCGCACCGCACCGCACCAGAAACCACACCTCGTCTATTCGCACCTTTAAGCCGCGAATAGACGAGGTACGATATCCGGTGCGGAATAATCGATACAAACGAAAATAGAAAGAGTGAACCCACGGTACGGACACGATCACTTCTTCCCCGACCAGCTTCAATTTCTTGGTTGAGAGTAATGAACTTGTGTCACCACTTAAGTATGAAGGACAAAATAAATGTTAAAAATAACGTTATTGGCCTTGAAGAGTATATAGCATTGTGACCGTCACATTGCTTAATAATGAATACAAGAATTTCTATGCCATGTCCCCAATCCTTGTATAATTAATTTGTGAAATGGATATATGAAAACTTATTAAATTCATATCATTACCTTTTGAATAACTATATGACAAATAACCGTTATGCAATGGAAGGTTATTCAAAATTTCTATTCAAAACATATTCTTTAGAAAATAATAAATCCTTAAGTATAGACGCATTGAAATGATAATATATACCCCTTAAGACTAGACACACTCGATTGTAAAATACAATAACCCTATTGCTCATACTTGGTCAAAAGTAAAATTAACTTGCCAAGGATTACATACACACCTTGTGAAAGGTTGTGGGAACTTTTATTAACTTGTTTAGAACGGATAGCCTCAAGCATGGATTCAAGAATAGTAAAACTTGTGTTTTTTCTTTCTTGTTTTTCTCCGTCCGTTCAAGATTCGGATAATTCAGCAGAATCTCTAAAAACTGTAAGTTTACCACATATTCTTTAAGTTTCGGTTGACGACACTGTATAATCTCAAACAATTCATATTTATATACACAGTTTTGTGTGATTGTATTAGACAGAATATACAAGAAAACATATTGAAACTTTCCTGTGTTCACTACTTTTAACGATACCAATTCTCATTCCCTTATCTCAACCAAAAGCATAATGAAGAATAAAAAATGCTGAAAAGTGTAACACTGCAAGATATTAATCATTGTTGGCGGCATTGACATATGCAAAGGCTCGATGATTCGGTATAACCTCAAAACGAGGAAAACTTTTGGCTTAATGCGTCGGTACTCACAGAAACCCAATCGAATTACTTTGCTTATAAAATTGTTTGTGTATTTAGAGCAAAAAATCAACAGAGTTATTAAGTCGCCATAAACGTCTAGTTTACACCAACCATGAATGGAAGAACGGAATTGTTCCTTATATTTATCTCCAAGGGATAGGTAAGATTTAAGTTCAATTTTGCCTAAACACTGTTGAATTTTAAAGGGATATGCCTACTACGTCTTAGAATAAACATAAAATTTTAAAATTTTAAACTTGACCAATAAGAGCATATATTCATCAGTAGATATACCTGATGTCATAAAAAACATAACAGGATCCTCATATAATCCGATAAATCCCAAAATTTTAGTAAAAATGCAATTAACTATTGAAAAACGCTCAAGATTATGATTAAGCGTTTTTCAATAATTACCTAGTTTTATGAATTTTCTAGATTTTATAGGGATTCTGTTGTAATTTTATGACGCCAGGTAAGTTCACTGATGAATATATACGCATATTGACCATTCTTGAGAATTAAATTTTATGTTCATTCTAAGACGTAGTATCACTTTTAGGTGGAATACTATCGATTCACCAATGATCCACCAACTTCCATCAACCATGCGAAGTTCAGCGAAACTATTTGCAAGTTTTGTCCTTGATATAATAAAACAACAAAATTCTCTGTTCAATAATAGCTTTTAATACGAGATGTTAGGGATATTGCTAAACATTGACTGATATTGTAACAATTTTTTGACTGCTTAGCTTTAAATTTGACACAATTGGGTCATAAGTCAGAACATGATTTAAGGATGAGATTCGGGTTTCGAGTCGCCACATCTACCATTTTCATCTAATTAGACTCTTAACAGTAGTATAAGATATGGAACACATTAAGACATTGGTTTGTGATTTGTAGAAAATAGTAACCGAATATTATTAAGTGTACTTAAATACCATTAATAGAAGGGGTCAGATTGCTTCAAAGTAAGGCGATACATCATTATAACAAATAAACAAGATATTACATTACATATATATATATGTAAGTTAATCCCAAGTCATTATAAGTATAGTATTATCAGTGACGGTTAATTGTCAATAAATTGAATTAAAAATACAAGACAAACGAACAATAATGCTACTTAAAACCCTGGAACATCTACACCACTTAAGTTGACTCTGTTAATTCTGCTTTAGGATTATAAAATAATATTGTTGGTTATGGATTGTACTGTATATTCAGAAAGGATTCCTTGTTGACAAACTGATTTTGGTTTTATTATTTAACACAGGTGATAAAGAACAGAATGAAATAGAATCAGCTATGTATTTTGTGGAGAAGTTTACATGTATCAGATTTGTACCATGGACTACTGAAACTCGTTCCATGTATGATCTAGATCATAATGGTTATGTTAAATTTTCAAATGAAAAATCGTAAGTTACAAACTCCTGCAATTGATAACTAGTCTCCCTTAGATCGTTACACTTTTATACAAAATTTTCTTGGATTGGTCTGGTGCTCTTAATAACGATACCAAGAAGAAGCTATTTCTGTTCATGTCAATGAGCATCAGAGAATTTTATATCTGGCTGACATTCATTTATATATATATATATAGATAAACAGATATAACAAACTTCAAATTAAAAGTCAAAATATATCGCTAACATTTGGCACAGGTTCAGGTTTGCTGTGACCATTTTACGACATTAACGACAAGTTAATAATAATGGTAGCATTTATTTATGGGATAGCTACTTTAAATATTGGAAAACTATTTTAGGTGTTTTGCTGATGTTGGGAACAAGAAGAAACCTCAAAGGTGCTCATGTTGTGATCGGGTTGGTATCAATAATTTATTCTGTTATATATATCTAATTTCTTGTTAATTCATTTTGAGTCACACCCAAATCTATATATTTTTTGCCATTTATATTCATTTACTTTATATCATATAACTTGTATCTTGTTTCGATGTTGCATGGAACTAATCAACTAATCAATATATTTGAAATGGCTCATTGCTATGAGATTCATTTATACTTTAAATATGACAGTAGTTGTTAGAATATTTCCTTTGGTGTATTTCAGTTTTCTTGTGTTCACGAGTTAGGACATGTACTAGGTTTATATCACACTCATCATTCTCACCAAGCATCTGGATGGATCAGAATTAACTTTAATGAACTGAGGAAAAGTAAGATGGACTATTTTCTACATAGCCATTTATTGGAAAACCTAAAGATCATTTGATAAAATCTGCCCTGATCAGTTGAAACAAGAAACAAAGTCAAAGTATCATTTATATTAATATCATTACTTTTTTGGAACCCAGAAGTTGGCCTACTCCAAGGTCTTGAGACTATAAGCAATGAATAACACTAATTCACTACCCATATGACATCCTATCATCCTATCCTATTCCTTTCCCAGGTCACATGTACGTATATAGAGTCATGGAGGAAAAAAATATACACGATTATGCTTATGATATCACATCAATGATGCATTATCCAGAATATGTACGTATATCACAGATATTTTCTTTTCCGATTGGAGTAATGATGCCAATGATAATAACAATATCAATTTCAATAATAATTTAACGAAGAATAATATTTTCAAATATTGAATAGTTATGGAAATAATGATATAAAATTCTTAATAACATTGCAGATGTATAAAACAAGTTACAGACCAACGATGAACAAGCTTATTCGAGGACTAAAAACAACTTCAAATAGATTTTATGCTTTTAGAGATATAAATTGGGTACACAACTGTAAAGGTAGGGAATATAAAGCCGAATACTTCTTGTCGACACATTCATAATGTGGCAAGCTTTTTAACATTACATTAGCCTGTTGGATTTGCATGTATAATATACATTTATGATGGATGCTATTGGAAGTGATAAAAGTGATAAACTCATCTTTTGATGTTTTCATTCGGTTTGACTGTTGTCATGTTAGAGGAGAAAGCTGAGACCGTAAGACAGTGCATTGACTTTAACTTAATTTTAACACTAGTAATAGCCAGTACATATTGAAAACCGAAACCGGCAATTGGCTCATTCATGTGAGAAACGCCTTTCGAGTTCTTTTGGAGCATTAGACATAAAATCTTGATATTGACAATTTGATATTGAAAACAATCCACAGTCTCTACTTGTGGTCAGTGCTTCTATAAGAGAGTTTCCCTTATAAAACCTTATACAAGCAGCGGGCTTCATCGACACATACATGAGGTTGACTTATAGTTTAACTATATCATAATCAAAATTTTCTCTGCAATTTCAGATAAAAGATGCAACTGGTTCCATAAGAAGTGTGAAAATGATGGTTATATAACAACGGTAGATGGGAGGTGCCAATGCAATTGCCCTCTCAGACTAGATCCTGAAACCGGATGTACTCAAATGATAAAAAGAAGTATATTTATTGTTTTATTTCCAAATCACCAAATCCAAGAAATATTATGACAATATCATAAGAACATTCATAGTATGGGATGATTTTAAAAATTCAGAATCGAATTGCCAAAAGTTCAAATAAGTTTAAAAGAGATCCACGTGATCGATGGAAAATTAGCGAAAATTAATTAGTGACCAGAATAATGATACCCTTCCTTATGGTTTGTAATGTACTTCATTTCAGGGAAAAAATTTAGCTGGCCTGCAGGACATTTTGCTCTTATGGCAACTGAAAGTGGATGTCCGGAGGGTAAATTTGGACATGGTTCGTTGACTCATTGGGGAGATGGTAGAAACTGGCATTCATATACAACTAACAAAGCAAGATCGAATCTCCATTTAAAAGGGGTACATAATGCTAAACGACATACGTATCATTTTTGTATAAGTAAAAACTATTCACCATTAGGAAAAGAGTGGCCTGCTGGATCCTATTGTATTTTACGAGAAGGTGGATTCTGTCCATACAGTAAGTATCACTTTTAATGGTTTTCTAATAAAATCTTGTCTTCCATGTTGCAAAAATTCACATCCGTACAATGATACGTATTGTACTCACACTGCAGTATATGTTAATCAATGTAACCACTAATTGTTAAATTCTGATATTTTTTGTATTTTTTTGAATTCAGAATTTAAAGAGGGAAGTGTCCAGTTTGATAATGAAATTCGATCTAAAAGACAAAATAACACATTTCATGGCGAATTACCTGATGGTGAATATGGTGCAGATGTGAAATTAATCTTTTGTTGTCGTGATGATGGTCTTTCAGAATACCCAATGACTTTACCCAATGACAAGCCGTTGATATTATTTCAAGCTAAAGCTCTTGGATATAAATGTCAAAAAGTCAATGGTATGTAAAACAATCTACGTTTTAATATCAATGAATCAATAAAACATGAACATAAACCTGTATTACATACTTGTTGGGACCATTTACATTTCGATCTTTTTTTTCTTTCTTGGCCAAACGAAAACAAAAGTAATCCGTTTTATTTCTTTTCATATCTTAAGCTTTAATTCAGGCTTTGTTTCCTAGTTGTATATTATGTTAAATGTATGTATTTTCAGGAATGTCTTATAAACTGGAATTTTTTACGTTTGATAATCATGATACGGGGAAAGCAAATATAAGTGGTACTGCACCTCGAAATATTATATATAAAGGAGATCAGTTTTTAATGTATTATTGTTATTATGAACCCTCTGATTACAGTAAGTATTTTAAAGCAACATTCCTACCATGCAATTTAGATTGATGTTAACAAAGCATTTTTTGTTTGTTAATTAACTGTGTAGGATATTAACAGTAATCACAATAATATGTTAGTAGATTCTCATTTGAGTTAATTTTGCTTGCAGATTGTGGTGGTGTTTATAATTTAAACAAACAGAATCCATCAATAACCATAACATCACCTAACTACCCTAGAGACTACGGACCAGATGAGGAATGCACGTGGTTAATAAAGGTTTGAATTTTTTATGAACATAAACATCACGTTATCTTTCAACCACTTCATAACGAATACTGTCATAGTACAGGTGTGGCTAGATCGGGAAATCACCTTCACATATTCATACATAATCACTTTCTGACCACATTTGACAACTCAACATTCCAACTTACCCACACTGTCTGACGCTTCTGAAACGTCTTTAAAACTCCACGTATCAATTATTTTACTACACAACAAATAGGTACCAAATCTACAATTTGAATAGCAGAAAGCTTCAACAACCTACATAAATCAAAAAAATGTTTTCGATTAGTTTAATTGATTAAATAAGGCTATTTGAGTGGGATACTACAAATGTAAGTCATTTTTCTCGTAGAAGATCTGCATGTAGTCGAGTTAATTTCATAAGAACCTTTCCAATTATTATTACCAGGTTTCATTGAGCATATTCTTTTTAAGGCACCCGAAGATTCCAAGTTGATGTTGAGTTTTGAAGATTTTGTGATTTCACAGGACTTAGATAAATGTTATGAGGCAATAGGAGTTGGAACTGGTCTGATTGGACAAGAAGGGCAATGGTAGGTTATTTTATATTCAAATGTCAAGTTGATATGGATTTATTGGTAAAAGTTTCATCAGACCAAATGTGTTGATACCTTGGCATTTCTCGATAGATGTATATCGATACTACATTGACCATAGTGAACTGATTTCATATTTTTCAAACACGCTGTAAGAGAATTTGTCGATTCCTGGAAAGGAAACAAAATATAAGTATAATTGAAAATCATCAGTAATGTTATTAAAATGACGTACATTACACAGAAAAAAACTGACCTGAATAAGCATTTGAACATAGAATAATAGCAGTGTATTACATTTTTTGAAACAAACAAATTTTTACATACTAGCATATGATAGCGGTGGTAAGAGGATTTGTCAATTTTCTCTTTTAAGGATGTGTGGTTTGTGGAGTCGAGATAATTTCTTTTCAATCTTTAATATAATCAATGTTCGTTTTCGTACAAGTTTAAGCACTCCTCGGAGGGGATTCAAAGCTAAAATATCACTTATATCACGTATGTATTCCTTAATTTGATAAATGACCCACTAATTCAAAATAGTGACTAATTACCTTTTTATTTTACCATAGCTATACCTTTATCGAACCATTAAGCATTACCACGAAATGTGGTGAAATGTAGATCTTTACAGAAGTCATTCTTCGGAAATCAGAAAAACATTATAATTGTGAGACAGTTTCCTGAACTTACTTGATATTATGATTATCTGGCAATTGCGAAATTTGCAGCAAAGTTTGTATCTCTGTATTTTCAGCTGAAGACATGTGTTATAGTTGGGATGATCAAGGAAGTAGCTATAGAGGAAAAGTTAACATCACTGAAACTATGAAAGCGTGTTTACCCTGGTCTTCTGTTACCCATTGCCCACATCATACTTTTAAAAACGGGTACATAGAATGTGGAATTTTTGTTGTTTTATTATATTATAAGCTAAATTCGAACCATTCTCGTGGAATACCTCCATTTCAGAATAAAGGCGAACCCACTGATACGACAGATTTCTTCGATCATGTTTCAAATTTATGAAATTACCAACAATAATTGGATGGGTCATTTGAAGAGAGGATAAAAGGTAAATTAGATGGCATTAATGCCATAAGAAGGTGGACGGATGAAGTCACTCATATGTTTTCTCTTCATTTACTATTCACTACTCTCTAACTTCTCTAATGTTTCTGCTTATGTTAATTTGGCTGGCAAATTGCTTGTTTCAGAGATTATGAAGATGGTTTAGATGGGAATTATTGTCGTAATCCCGGTGATGGATTAAAACCATGGTGTTATATACATGCTGATGGTTGTGAGAGAGAATATTGTGATGCCTGTATGCATGGTAAATGACTTGTTTATACGTGTATAAAAACACTACTATAAAAACAATAAAACAATATAGTTATCAAATTGAATTATTAAATTGAATGTTTCTAAAACCAGTTTTGATCACTTGAATGATTAAATTTCTAAATGTTTGGTAATGAACGAATTGTATTCAGTAAACTACCAACCTTACAAAACTTGAGGATAGAAACGAACTCATAGAAATATTGGAAATGTATTATCAATGGTAATAAACAAAACGTTCTTGTACTGAAATTATAAATTATGAGTCTTCAGGACAGAAAATTTATTGTTAATCTTAGTTTGGTTATTTCAAAAACTTCAGAAGCAATTTAATTATCCATTAAAGGATATGACAATTTGCTGAAGTAACTGCAATAAAATAATTCATAGAATTGCGTAAAATTGAATTGGGAAATATATTATTCTTACATGTATGAGAACAATTATGTGAAAATAATCAATTTAAAGATTATAATTGGCCGATACTAGAAATAGAAAAGAAGTGTGTATTGAAAAAATGTGACGAAAGAGGCGGCTAATGACAATTTTATTATGTAATTTCGATTTTTCCCTTATTAAGGAAGTTGTCAATCTAATGAAGTGAAATAAGAAGAGTATTTTTTTTTCTATTTTAGGACCTATTCATGATACAATTAATAATTGTGAGGAACTGAAAAATGATACAGCTGATTTTTGTGAAAATGATTTTAGAGCCTTGTCGCATTGTGGTAAAACTTGTCAATCAGAACTTCCACAGATACCACCAGTTATTAAAGGTAAAAAAGGGCAAATAACCAGATCTGCAAAATAAAATGATTATAAGGAGGTAGCGTTTTGAATTACAGATAACCATTGTATTAGGCCTGACATTCAAAAATGGAACCTTTATCATTCTGATCTCGGCCGAAAGGTTATAGACATCATTTGAAACTTTTTTCAGAATATTTTAATTATCTCCTGGATTTATTATTATATTTTCTAAATCTATTTGTTCACGTTACCTATATTTAATTAGAAAAAGATATAAGATGTCGACTACCATCGACTATGAAAGATGGAATCATTGTTAGTGATATAAAACAGTATTATAAAGTTGGAGAAGTAATACAGTTTAGATGTGTAGATACAGGAGAAATAATAAATACAACATGTTTAACTGATGCTACTTGGTCTGTCGTTAATCATGTTTGTGATGGTTTGTATCAAACTCTTATTTATTCAACAAAATAAAATTATTTATGCTTTCTGAAGACTGGAAACAAAATTTTATTTTTTATTTCAATCCCCTAGCAAGAAACCTGTATTCAGTTCAAATCAAAATTCAAAGGTAGCCCAGTTTTTTCCTTGAACGATTTTCAATGGACTGTTCCGTTTCAGTGTGTCCAGTCGGTTGGTCTGTATTTAAAAATCACTGCTATAGATTTTTCCCAGAAGCAATATTATGGGTCCAGGCAGACGAAAAATGTAAATCTCTGGATGGAATCTTAACAACTGCAGCTGTACCAGAAGAACATGATTTCATTGTTACTTTGAGGTTGGTTTCAATTTTCATATTTTTCAACACCACTAATTATTTGCACCATAATCTTACCAGATTTTCCAGGAAATACAGAAACCACAAACGTCCAACCGTCCAACGGAAATTAGAATAATATCAATAGAAGCTAGTCTAGGAAAGCACTCAAAATTCAAACTAATTGTACTTATATTAAAAAGTCATTATGATACTGATAGAAACACATGAATAATATTTCCTGTCTTGTAGAATTCCACTCAGAACAACCTGGATTGGTCTACGCAGAGATAAACAGACTAAGAAATATATGTGGAGTAATGGAGAAGAAGCTGTGTGGACCAATTTCAAGAAAGGTAAACATTTATGACATGTTTTGACATATCATTGAATGCTTTCATATTCTTCCTTCCACTTTTGAGTGGTTTGAAAGTTTACATCATAGTAGTGTTCCTTGGATAGCTAAAGGGTATATCTAAATCAATATCCATTTGACTTATGACCAGTTGAGGGTTGTCAGACTTGTCAAAAGTAAGAGTCGTGGATTTAGAGGTATGCAATCTAATAAGAATTGTAGTTTACAATTTCGAATCTTTTTTGTTTTTGTACATTTAATGCTTTTTGTGACTGTGTTTCCATTTAGCACTCACGACATATGAATTTCAGGCGGACCAAACCATAGATCAAATGAACATTGTATTGCTATAATGGGCGAAGAAAATGAAAGTAAATGGGAAGACGTATATTGCACATATACTCGGAAACATCCTTATATTTGCAAAATAAAGGCAAAAAGTAAGTAAACTCTTCGATAAAAAAGTCTTGACGATCGGTATGAAATTCTATGAAACATTTGAAACAATACTATACAAAGTCTTTGAATGACATTTAAAACATAAAACTTTAACCAGTGATTGTTGTTCCATGAAGCTGCGTCTATACATAATACTAAACAAGACATTTACTGAAAAATGAGTAGCACAAGTTAAGCTGTTAAAGCTGCATTCTAAATACAGAACTTTCTCTAACCTTGCTATCCGCGAGTTTGTTGTAAATAAAGTCGAATGCTGTGGAAATTGCAACAAACAACAGAACCATAAAAATGATTTATCCCTTTATAAATATTTACAAGAAAAGCCATAATTGATGGAAAGAGTAAAATTTAAGAGAATTTTAATGTAAAAAAATAATTCAACATTTTCTTTCTGAAGGTAATCTAACATTGAAAATGGCATGATTTAAATTGAACGGTTATAAATCATGTTTTATTGTACCGTTTTCTCTATTGGATGTTGATGACGGAGATTATCTTTTAAAAGCAAAACAAACTTTCATGGCTATGAACACATCTGAACTTTTCCATTTTCCATTAGTTTTCTACACTTTCTCACTATCACTATACCTCCATTTACACAAATACTTGTAATATTGTTTCATACACACTAGTATAACTAAACTTGTTTTTTTATTGTTTTATAGAAGCCAAACATTGTTCAGACAGAATACCAAACTGTGAAGAGATTCTACACGATTCGCCGACAATGTGTATGAACCAAACATCATTTGCCTCGTCTCAATGTTCTCATACATGTGGAGTATGTGACAAACATTCGAGTAAGTTTATCAGCAATATCATCTTCGACCTTTGTTCTCCAAATTAACAGTTTCTTTTTTCAATTAAATGAGGTATGATAGTCATTTTGATCAACGAATTTGTGCTTTTGCACGGTTGTTTGAAGTAAGCACTCATTTTAGATAAGACAATCATTTTTCGGCCTATCATTGTCCCGTGGATGTTACCAACTGTGGCTATCAATGATTTAATGCTACCATCTAATGTTCTTTCAAAAGCCATCCAGGAAGTCTATAATCCCTATTGGCATTTGAGACCTATGCTAGCTCACTGATTGTGTCAAACTTTGTTGACTAATAGCACACGTATGATGTTGAAGGCTGTTTCTACTACATAAAACTTGTTGACTTCTAGTTTTTTTGAATATTAAAGGTACAGGTACGCCATTTTTTTGACCGATAGTCACAGAAACTGGAATTTTTAGCCAAAATATCAGAAATAGTGTTCACAGCTCACCATCGAAATTTGACCCTTCAAATCCCTGTGTGTATAGTTTTATCGGCGTCTTAAAATTAAAAAGATGACTCTTCTTTTTAAGATACTCTGTGAAATAAATATAGCATTAAAGAGTGATTTTCCTAGTGTGAAGGAATAATGCGAGTTTCGTACATTTCTAGTACTTTTGAAGACTATTTACATATATTCAAGACCCGAATCAACCCCCGAAAACGGTGAATTTGTCCCTTTAATGACGGAAGTCGGTCAGATAACTAACAAATATAGCTAGCATATGAAGAATCGGTAGGTTTAAGACCTCGGACATCCCGAGTCAAGGATATTTATTGCCTTCCACACAGATGCGAGATGAACGAACTTTGAATAAGTATAACAGTAATCAATAATATAGACCTATGATTTACTAATGTGTCGAATCAGAGTTATACAGGTCATAATTTACTATGATTATTGCTATAAAGCTTCACTCCATGATGAATTATTACCTATCGTGTTATCCATAATCAGGAAATACGTTGATAAAATGTTCGTATTAATGTTCCAAACTAATTTCCATATATCGGCCAATATTCACAAACAATTTCGTGAAATACGTCACGATGCTGGAGATCAAAACCATGTCAAAGATTAAAGATTATTATGTCATTTACTACAACTATGAGAAGAGCTGAACATGTTTTTTACAATGTTTAATTGTATTACGATCAAATCAATTAACCCGATTTCTTACGACAAAGTAACAAGCTATGGGGAATATAAGATCTTCATAATGATTTCAGCTCCTCATTGCGAAACACCAGAGATACCAGAGAATGTACGAGTGTTGGTCACCAGAAGACACCTAACTCGTGGTAGAACTGTACAGTATCAATGTATTGATGAGCATACTGTTGAATCTGGTAATTTAGACAGAGTTTGTACTTCCAATGGCAAATTATCAGGACAGCCACCTGTCTGTAAACGTAAGTACTAAGTTATTATTTGAACTTCCAAGTCCACGACATCTTTCAGATCAAGTCAATCACAAGTCCACATTACATAGACGTCTCAAATATTTTTTAAAAACATACTGGTTGTTCGAATACAGTACAAATGAAATTCTTAAAGTTCTTCTACATTGTGTTTCATTTTCAGTATCAAATCTTGCTCGGTCATTGACTAGTGAAATAGCAATGAAAGACAGAGGTGGCTTTGGAACCAAATCTTTTGTTTATGCTGGGAGAACACCAGAACTATTAATTCAGAGGGATGGACGTGTTGTTGAGTGGCACTTGTATAGTCCAATACCTGGAAATCTTCATCTACAAATTTATAGACCACCTACAAATGAGTCTTTAAATAGGTTAGTATATAGAGTTTACATGGTTTGTAAAAACAATATGCAGTCGTATATAAGACGAGGTTCTTGATAGCTTAACATCGTGAAGGAAGGAAGGAACAGATTGGGTAACGTCACATGTGTGGTGAGGAATACAGCAACAAGATGGAAACTACGTTTATAAGCAGTACACTGTACACTATTTTATCTTATTCGATTTTCGGACACTCTGTTTTGATACTGAATTCTAAATTATAAGTAAAGGTTTCCATTTCACAACACGTGAATATGAAATGATGATTATATGCAATATATCATATGGAAAATCTATCGTCTTATAGAGGGTTTCAGCAATTGATTCAACATCCCTTTATTTGTTTTTACAATAATAATTTTCCATCGTTTTCAGCTTTGAACTCTTAAGTTCAAGACCTGTGACAACAAGTGAAAAAAGAATTGAAAGAATAATAGTACCAGTTCCTGAACAAACTGTGGTACAGCCTGGAGACGTATTGGGCGTCTGGGTAGAAGCTGGTAAATCTGGTATCTCTATGGAAGGCTGTAATGGAAATTATTATGCACCGTCCTTTAAAATGAAGAAAAAGAAATATCTAAATGCTAATTCGTTTAAACCTGGTCACATCGTAGAGTTTCCAGATACAAACGATTGTACTATTATCTCATTAAGGGCTGTAATAGGACCTGATGTAAGTAAACAATCTTTTTTTAGAATACAGGTCTCGTTTTCTGCAAAAACTAATTACCAATAGGCTACTTATTTGATAATGTGGACGCATGCACTGACTGGCGGGTGGTCAGAGGCGACGACATTGTAATGTGGGCGTATAAAAACGGGAAAAATTAAGCCTTGAGTTGGGACAGTCATCAGCAATTAGCTTTTTCGATTCTGAGCAGCTTCACTGAATGGATGTTTTTTTCGCGAGAGAGCGAAACAGTATTTTATTTTAATGTATCAAGATTGACAGTCATTTTGTATTCACCTTGTAATAAATGGAAATTTAAGACTTTAAACATATATCATAATCCATAGTTGCATGAATGAATCACCACACCCGTATTTAAGGTTCTCGGTACATTTTCTTTTTACATTAACAAATGTTATATGATATTATTATGTAATACTCCAGATGTACAACTCAATAAATTTCTATTATAGAATTATTATTATTTTTGTAGGTTGATGTGTAATAAAGTTGTTACTATTTGTCACCAGCTGTGCAATTTGTAGTATTGTGAAATATATTAACACGTAGTGCTAAAGACTGCTAATAAACTTGTATATATTTAGATTGACTGCTCTGCATATAGGGTTGTTTTATGTTTTGATACAATAAATTGATTTGATTTGATTGTGGAACTATTTACCTTTGATGATATGAAAAGGAAACCGCACTGTATCTTAACATGTGTAAGTATATAAAATAAGGAACCTGTAGCAGGTCTAAAATTTACATGGTGTAACGAACAATGTCACTTTATATTTATCTGTTAATATTAATATTTATCAGGTGAATTTGTTGTCCTGACTGTAATTCCTTCAGTAATTCCAAAATGCCTAATCATATATAGTCTAGCTCAATGGTCGTGGACTGAATTGACTAAGTTTGTAGATATGAGTCGCACCCCTTTGCCAGAAAACGTCTTTACGTGTTTTTGATTTATATTCAATAGCGATTACTTTGGTTAACCCCAGCAGACACTATCAGGTGAAAGTTCTGTACCAGCTATAAGATTTTTCTTGTAATTGATTGAGGGCCTAGCCCGTTGTCTACATATTCACTTACTTTCTCCGACTCACGGAACTATTTAGCAAGTGGTGTAAATTTTCCTTGGATGTTAGCCAGAATTAAATGGTTAATGATAGAATAATAGTGGCGTCGTCAGCCTCCCTAAACTAAAGGGTACACAGGGTATTGGGAAATTATTGAAAACTAGAATTGATTTGGTGCATTTTGACACGTATCTTACGTCAAAAACGTATAAAAATCATATATTTCTTAATTTGGAAAAAATATAGATCACTTAGATGCAAAACCTCTTCCATGTCCTTTATTATAGTTGGTGTATATTGTTTCTTTTTTAAATAAAAAAAAAACTTGGTTAATAAACATTGGTGTAAAATAGTGTAGCCTGAACCTTTCGTCAGAAATTTGTAAGTAATAACGTATTACAAGACCTGCTGTTGCTCCATTTCAATAACTTGGTAAGCTGTTGTGAAATTATTTATATCAGGAATCGGGTGAAAACAACACCCTACAATTAATAAATTTAACAGTATAAAATTCAGCGTAAAAAAATTAATGAAACTGAATATTTTCAACTTGTCCAGATTGTCGTGTCTGTTTATTTCTACTCGTGACTGTGTATTAATACAGAATAATAAAGTTGAAATATGATTTTCCCCACAGAGACCTCTAGGCCGTAATTTATTGTGAAAATTTGCAACTTATCTAATTAATATAGCTAGATCATGTAATGTAGGTGATTCTCATTTTATGCAATTATTCAGCGTGAAATCTTATCATAATGATCAATTATTCAATGTCACTATTGAATGGAATAATAGCAATAAATGGTTTGGCAGTTAAAATAGTGTAAAAAAGTGAATGTTTGGACTACTTTCGCCCGAATAAGTTTAATGGCATAATTCAAAAACCATGTGGAAGACTATTCATAATTGTAATATTAACCATTTAACAAAAGCGATTATTTCTTGTCTCGGATGAGAAAAGTCAGTGATGTAATTGACTTTAGTCTTTTTATAAGGTATTATTTTAGTTGTGCTGTGCTCTAACATGTATCTACTCGTATCACTCTATAATATATGCAAACTATATAAATTATATATATATTACTCTATACCCGACATATTATTTACATATTACTCTATATTAGATATTATTTACATATTACTCTATATTAGATAGTATCTGCATATTACTCTATACTAGATATTATTTACATATTACTCTATATTAGATAGTATCTGCATATTACTCTATACTAGATATTATTTACATATTACTCTATACTAGATATTATTTACATATTACTCTATACTAGATATTATTTACATATTACTCTATACTAGATATTATTTACATATTACTCTATATTAGATAGTATATGCATATTACTCTATACTAGATATTATTTACATATTACTCTATACTAGATATTATTTACATATTACTCTATACTAGATATTATCTGCATATAACTCTATACTAGATATTATTTACATATTACTCTATATTAGATATTATTTACATATTACTCTATAATAGATAGTATCTGCATATTACTCTATACTAGATATTATTTACATATTACTCTATATTAACTAGTATCTGCATATTACTCTATACTAGATATTATTTACATATTACTCTATACTAGATATTATTTACATTTTACTCTATACTAGATATTATTTACATATTACTCTATATTAGATAGTATCTGCATATTACTCTATACTAGATATTATTTACATATTACTCTATACTAGATATTATTTACATATTACTCTATACTAGATATTATTTACATATTACTCTATACTTGATATTATTTACATATTACTCTATACTAGATATTATTTACATATTACTCTATACTAGATATTATCTGCATATTACTCTATACTAGATATTATTTACATATTACTCTATAATAGATATTATTTACATATTACTCTATAATAGATATTATTTACATATTACTCTATACTAGATATTATTTACATATTACTCTATACTAGATATTATTTACATATTACTCTATACTAGATATTATCTGCATATTATTCTATACTAGATATTATTTACATATTACTCTATACTAGATATTATCTGCATATTACTCTATACTAGATATTATTTACACATTACTCTATACTAGATATTATTTACATATTACTCTATACTAGATATTATTTACATATTACTCTATACTAGATATTATCTGCATATTACTCTATACTAGATATTATTTACATATTACTCTATACTAGATATTATTTACATATTACTCTATAATAGATATTATTTACATATTACTCTATACTAGATATTATTTACATATTACTCTATGTAGTCATATAAGTCTGGGGAGGTTAGGGTATAAGATCTAACGTCTCTAAAATTGTAGGAGCAATTTTGTCTATTTGATTCAATATGCTCCCAGTCTGATGTCTAGACTGGTAAGAATAAGATCGTTTGTCTCGAGGGTGGTAGGGATAAGCTCTCTTATGTCTAGTTGAAAGTGATGTTATGTGTCTTGAGTGTAGGTAGGGTGTTAAGGATAGGTGGTATATTAATTACAGGAATGTAAGGCCTTTGACCTTTTGACCTGGGGCACCTTTTGACTTTTGAAGTATTAAGGGTATGTGGTCTGGTGTCTCTAGGATGGTAAGGGTATGAGATCTTCTGTCTCTAGAGTGGTAAGGGTAAGTGATATTTGTCTCCAGAACGGCAAGGGTAAGTGGTCTAATGATTTTTAACCTTTTGTCCTAGGGTGATCTAGACCTAGGGTGGTAAGGATAAGAAATCGTATGTCGCTAAGGTCCAATGACTCTAGGAGGATAAGCGTATGTGGTCTAGGGGGGGTAAGGGTTTGAAGTCTAATTACTCTACGGTTGTAAGGGACTGTGACCTTTTTACCTAGGGTTGTAAGGGTAGGTGGTCTAATGACTCTAGGATAGTAGGGGTATGCGGTCTTATATCTCTAGTGTGGTAAGGGTTTGTAGTCTAATGACTAGGATTATTAGGGAATGTGACACTATGACCTAGGATGGTAAGGGCATGTGATCTAATAACACTAAGGCGGTAAGGGTATGTGGTATTATATCTCTAGAATGGTAAAGGTTTGTGGTCTTATTACTAGGGTGGTAAGGTAATAAGACCTGTTGGCTTAGGGTGGTAATTGTATGCGGTCTTATATCTCTAGGGTGGTAAGGGTCAAAGGAATGTGACCTTTTGGCCTAGTTTGGTAAGAGAATATGACATTTTGGCCCTGGGTGGTAAAGGTATGTAATCTAATAACCTTAGGGTGGTAAGGGTATGTGGTATCATATCTCTAGAATGGTAAAGAGTTGTGGTCTTATGACTCTAGGGCTGTAAAATTAGTGACCTTTTGACCTAGGTTAGTTAGGATATGTGGTTCAATGACTCTAGGGTGGTAAGGGTGTGTGGTCTAATAACACTAGGGTGGTAAGGGTATGTAGTGTTATATTTCCTGGTAAGAGTTTGTGGTCTTATGACTAGGGTGGTAAGGTAATGTGACATTTTGGGTATGTGGTCTAATGACTCTAGGGTGGTAAGTAAGAATATGTCTTATATATCTAGAATAGTAAAAGTTTGTGTTCTTATGACTCTAGGGTTGTAAGAAATGTGACCTTTCGATTTAGGATGGTAAGGGTATGTGGTCTTATGACTCTAACGTGGTAAGGGTATGTGGTGTTATTTCTATTTCTAGGCTGGTTACGGTTTGTCGTCTAATGACTCTAAGTTTGTAATCAACCTATTTTTATTTCTAGGGTGGTAGGTCTAATGACTCTGGGGTTTATGACGATGTGAACTGTTGACTTAGGGTGGTAAAGGTTTATGTTCAAATCACTCAAGGGTGGTAAGGGTTTTGGTCTAATGACTACGTAACAGTTGTAAGGGACTGTGAATGTGTTAAGAGTGTGTAGTCTATTTACTTCAGGGTAGTAATGGTAATTGGTCTGATGATTCCAGAGATCCCTCCTTAACACCCTAGATACATCAGATCACATATCCTTACCACTCTAGGTCAAAAGGTCAAATTCCCTTACATCACCCGAATCACAAAACCATTTACCCTTACCACCTAAGAGACAAAACATCACATACCCTTAACCATCTAGAGACATATTTATTGGACTACTTATCCTTACCACCCAAGGTCAAAAGGTCGCAGATTCTAGATTCATTAGACCACTAACCTTTACCATCCTTGAGACTTAAGATCTCCTAACCATCATAGAGACACCAAAATCAGTTCAAAACACAACTCGACAATTCAGTTGGCTCTAAGCTGGCTTACAATTCTCATTGTCAGTCAAGCTTATTAGAAATAGTGCTCATAGTCGAAATATTAGACTTCTTATACATTTGTGCCCAGAATTTTCCTCGCTAAAATGACGAGTCGTCTTTTCTTCAGATTCTGTCACATAAAGAAAAGAAATATATAGAAGTAGATCGTGAATTACCTAGTTTGAGGTATTTTTGAAGGAATAATGCGATTTTTGTCCATTTCTAGTACTTCTGAAGATAGTTTACACACTCTCCAGGCCCAAATCAACCCATTGGAATCTGTCCATGCA